GAAACGACTGTGTGTTTAATAGAATAAACATTCAAAAAAATTGCAGGGCCTTATGGCTTTTGGTTGCAACCGATGGGAGACAGTACGTAGCACGGGATACGTACAACTGGTTTGGATGACGGTCCAATAATAGATTATGTGTATAGCCATTTTGTCTTATTTGTGCCGGTTGTGGCATTTTGTCATTGATTTTTGCTTTATTTCTACTGGATCTGTTCGTGATACTTTGGCACTTGGTTCATTTTAATAAATAACTATCTTTTGATGTAGAGGCCGAAGTAATCCTCCTTTTAGAGAAAAATATATAGTTATACGTCAGATTTCTCTTTGCTACAGGTTATCTAGCAATCTACATACTAGCTTCGTTTGTAGTCTATTCTTTAGCGATCTGAACACCAACAAGTGTTTATAGCCGTGTGTACGCAGATGGAACAGAAGGACAAGGATGTTTTTGCCCGACATGGTTGGAGGCTTAGTCTGAGCCCCCCCTCCCCCTCGCCTTAGTTATTGTAGTCTCAGACAACTTTGTTTTTGTCAGCGTTATTTAGAGTGTGTGTGGTTGTGTGTGTATCTTTGCCACGTAGAGAATGGATGTGAACTTGTTTTGATTGTATTCCACTGTTGCGACATTTTGAGTCAAAAAACACCATTTTTCGAAATTTTTGTGGGTCATAATTAAACAACTAACTATTCAAGCGATAAAACCCACAAACTTGATCTCAAACATCTTATTATAATCTACCGCAATGCTATCACGGTCTAAGACATCCCGACCTTATATAAGCAAGCTAAAACACTTCACTACTATTTTTCACAAATTGTACAATAAAATGGTTCTAAGAGTCAATTCGATTGGAAAGTTAAACCGCATGACCTTCTTTTTTATGGATTTGACGATCAAGGTATTGGTTGCATCATTTCTAGGAACTAATCTTTTGAGGACTATGGTACTTGCACAAACTAATACATTATTGGATTATATTTATATGAAATGAGGTTAAGGTGACTAACACTATTTGACTGTATGTGCAATTGCATACTTCTTTAAAGTTATACCACCTCCGTAAGATGAGTATTCAATTAGTGCATTCATTACTAGAAGTATAATTATGTTGGTACGTTCGATTAATAACTCTTTGCTTACATTTTTAATACGAGAAGCTGTTAAATTAATTCAGTTTTGGACACTATGTTTATGTCTAAACACTGATGAAGAAAAGAGATATAGCATATAAACATTATTATTTTTTCCTGTAAGACATTTCATTTGGAAAATTCAGTGAACTAAGGATCTGAAGAGTCCTCTCAGTTGGAATGTCTCATTTGGTTCGCACTTCTCTGGCGGCTAATACCACACCCCAAAGATCTAGGTTGGGAAGATTGGAAGAATGACGTAGTGCAACACAATTCGGAGTGTACAACAGTTTCAGCAGCAGAGGCATTATGCACACTAAAGCTAAAGAGTGCACCAAAGCGACAACTTTATAAAATTTCCATCATTATCTCTATCAAGCATAGCACATTAGATAAGCTCAATTATGCATTGCTGGAAACCTTTTTTTTTTCTGGAAAGCCAATCATTAATTTTGTGTGGCATATGTGTGATCGGACAGCTTGCATACGCCAAGCAGTCATGTCTTCCTGCCTATATAAAGCACCCCATTACCAAGCTTACAATTCAGGCTAAGAGTTTCAACCAACTTAGAGAGCTCTCCTCTCCAGACCTCTCCCTTCTCTCCGCCAGGAGTCTAGGGTTAGAGAGAGAGCGAGACGAGCAAAAACAATCTCTCGCCCCACTGTTATACCAAGTTCGCATCCACCTCACTGTTATACATCTTTGTATCACAATGGGTGGCCTATCCATGGAGCACCCTTGGGCATTCGCCTTCGGCCTACTAGGTATATTATTCTCACCACGAACAACAGATGCCCAACAATTACCCCTTGTATTATCATAGTTTCTTATTACAGCTACTATTTGTTAGTGCAGTACTAGTAGACTACTTTGTGTCGTTTGAGATCACCCTTTTGCAGCCTCTATCTATATATCTTATCTTTGCCACTGATTGATTAATTGATGGGTAGTCTAGTACTAGCTGTAGTGACATCTAGCTCAGTGCCCAAAACCCCAAAAGAAACAACAACAAAGCAAATTGCTTATGTTTTTTCGAAAAGGATAAAGCGCATATAAGAAAGATGTAAATGTGTCATACAATTATCACAACTCATCGCTAACTTTGCTAAACTTTGTGCCTTGCAGGCAACGTGATCTCTTTCTCAAGCCTCCTGGCCCCGATGTAAGCGACTGTCTATGTTGGTTTTTGTTTCATTTGATCCTGTTAATTGATACGTTCTCCCATAATAACTAACTAATGTACTCACAAAAATAAAATATTAGACCAACATTCTACCGGATCTTCAAGAGCAAATCCACGGAGGGGTTCCAGTCGGTGCCCTACGTCGTGGCCCTGTTCAGCGCGATGCTGTGGATCTTCTACGCACTGGTGAAGACCGGTGAGGGCCTCCTCATCAGCATCAACGCTGCCGGCTGCGTCATCGAGACCGTCTACATCGTCATGTACCTCGTGTACGCCCCTAGGAAGGCCAAGATTTTCACAGCAAAGATCGTTGTCCTCCTCAACATCACCGGCTTCGGGCTCATCTTCCTCCTCACCCTCTTCGCCTTCCACGGTGAGACACGCGTCGTCTCACTCGGCTGGATCTGCGTCGGCTTCTCCGTCTGCGTCTTCGTTGCCCCACTCAGCATCATCGTGAGCCCTTTTTGACCGACAAACCTCCTACTTGAGCTCATGCATGGCGGGACCTCTTGTACGCGCGTCAACTAACTTGATGTGTTCCTTTCCCCAGGGACGAGTCATCAAGACCAAGAGTGTGGAGTACATGCCCTTCACGCTCTCCCTCACGCTCACCCTCAGCGCAATCGTCTGGTTCCTCTACGGCCTGCTCATCAAGGACAAATACGTCGCGGTAACTACACAAACAACCCTTTTGGATACGCATACATACAATTCTCTCAAGCATGAACACTGACGATTAAAATTATGTTTCCAGCTCCCAAACATCCTTGGCTTCACCTTCGGGGTGATCCAGATGGTCCTCTACGTGTTCTACATGAACAAGACGCCGGTGGCAAGCGAGGTCAAGGAGGGGAAAGAGGCATGGAAGGCGCCCGCAGAGGACCACGTCGTCGTGATCAACGTCGGCAAGACGGACAAGGGCTCGTGCGCCGAGGTGCGCCCGGTCACCGAGATGGCCAGCGCCGTCGACGTCCCCAGGAGATGCGCTGCTGAGGCGGCGGCGGCGCCGGGGGTGGACTTTGCCCGTTCTGTCGACGTGGTCTAGATTCACGCACGCATGCAGGCATGCATGGCTCATGCATGAGCCGAGCAACCGTTAATATTCGTACAACTTTATTTTCTTTTCCAAGAAAAAATAATATTCGCACCACGGTCTGCAGGTGCATGTACCTATTGTATGTAAAACAAACTACGTATGATGATTCGGCGTGGGTCGTAGCTAGGATTGGCAGCCCACTTATTCTATGATGTGTTTATAGACCACGCTCCAGCCCATAAAGTTCCCAAAGATGTTTAATGAATTTATCAATCGAAATTATATATATATACTACTATCTATAAAAAAAGAGGAATTCTTTTTTATTCCCTAGTTTCATGTTTGTGATATACTGTATATATTTTACCTCATTTAGCAAAATTCTCTGTTTTTACCTTTTTTGTGAAATTCACAATTTTTACCAAATTAGTGAAACCTACAAAACAAATTACCTCCTTCTATTTATTTTCTCATTCTCTGCTGATTGTAGATGCCACGTTCGTGGTCTAGTTAATTAGTACCATGAGTTTTTTCTGGTTTACTCCATTTTTTTATGACCGAACTGAACCCAAAAACGGTGCTTGACTACGGCAGGGAACTCCCTCGATCGGCCGGGCTCAGATCCAGCCACTATGCCAGGCAACCTACCTGGCCTGTTCTATTCCCTCCTCGTTGGTGCCATGGTTGTTGCTCGATCCGGCTGACCCGGTGCTCCTCTTCCACAAACACGGGAGGGGAGGCGGAGCTCAAATCAATTGAGACCTTGAGGTCCGCGCAAACTGGTGAGGCAGCTGGCGAAGACGAGCGTGTATTGGCCGGCTCGGAGACGCAAAAAAAAACATGGATGGAGGAGTAGCGGGCAACCTCGACGTCCGTGGAGTTGGAGGGCGGGCTGAGGCGGTCGAAGGAGTAGACGAGCTTGACGAGGTTAGAGCATGGTTAATGGTATAGCCAACTGCTGGCTATAAGCCATTGTCCTATCATCTATAGCCCATCTTATAGCCAATATGTACAATAGTTGATTGTGTACTACATTTTTATTATATGACCCACCTTTCACTCTCACAAAGTGCCTAGGAGCACGTGCTAGAGCTGGCTCTTCATCAAGAGCCCGCTTACCTTCTCTCTTCTCTTTTCTTTCCTCCAACTAAGTAAGAATATACTAGTTTATTTCTTATAGCCAGCTGACTCTGCTCTATTGTACTTGCTCTTAGATTGGAGCTTGGGAGGATGTGGAGCTAGGTGGAGAGGAAGAAGCCAAACTGGGAGAGGTCGATGTCAGGCGCATCCTGTCTGAGGCGACTGGCAATACCACCGTAAAGTTTGAAATAAATTTGGAAAATATGCAAGCACAGGTGTAAATTGTAGGATTTAAACCTGGATGGATTGGTTCCACCACAAGGAACCTAACCGTCTAAGTTAGACTCAGTTTGTGGTAGTTTTTATCATCATGAAGCTTAATTATGATTTTTTAAACAAATATTCATAGTTTGTCATATTTTATTTTTGCTGGAATAAATATATGTGATATTCCGAAACTTACCTGGCAAGCTAAATTTGTGTGATTCTTTTAGTACTTGCTGCTAGGCTAAATCGTAAATCCTGACAAGATTGTACACCGGTGGTTGCACATTGAGATTCTATTTTCTTTTCTTCAATGGTCATAAAAATCCTTAGTCCTTAACCTCTAGCCGTTGGGTGGGCATCCAAGGGCACACATCCATCAAATGTAAAATAAGGTGAAGATGGGTCATGCTTTCTTTTTGGGAAGGCCACCACGGCGAGCTTTATTGATGATCAAGCAAGAGTTGCATCGTCCACGAGATTACGAACGACAGAGCCAGGGGGATTTAGAAACAATATCCTATCCGATCCTACGAGCTGTCTCAGACGTCGCCTCCCCGCAAGTTGGATCCCGTCTTATTTCCATCGGGGGTCTACTTTTGTACTACATCTACTCGCCACTTTTAATTTCTTTCTATCATTTCCCGCACTAGCTGCATGATGTCATCGGACCGGATCAAAAGGGTTTCTGCGCCATCTTAGCTCGTATGCAAATGGATGACGTGTATAGCATTAGTTCCATGTAATATCTATGCGTGGTCCAGCACTCAATGGTAAGTAGTTAGGCACGTAGCCTGAGATTTGTGTACATGACTTTGCCAAAAAAGAGAGCTTGCTTTGTGTACATGATATACACGTGTGAGCTTTCTCTTTATCGCCTGCGCCGCGACATTTGCAGCTTAGGCGCCACCACGTAGAAGACGTGTATACAGACCTTCATCTTTTTTACCAATCATCAAGCTTTGTTTGCCCACCAAGTACGCCACGTGGCGTCTTCAGTTTCCGCAGGGGTGGTGCATGCAGCGACGTAAAGTACGTGGGGTGAGCAATCATTCATGCATAAAAAGAGCTTTGGTGCAGCTACAACAAGGACGTCGCTGGTGCAATGTATTAAGATACACCAAGTATTTGAAGGTCACACGGTTGGATTGACGCCTTTCAATCCGTGCTTTTGTTGTAGCTTTCGTTGCGCTTATTATTGCCAAAACAAGATAGCTTAATTAGTGCGGCTTTGTCAGGATCTTGATTGTGCCATGTAATACTAGCTGTTATGCTAATTGATTAGCACCAACTTGTCACAATCTCAACTCTATCATCAACACTTTTACATTTAACATGTTAAATCGACCGGGGTGCAGAATAAGTCAACTTTACTTTTCATAATAATCTCAACTCTGGAGTAATTTTTACATATGGACTGAGTTTGAGGGCTCGCAGGCAGGCGGGACATATGCAGATAATTTGGTTCGGTTGGATAGGTTTTTCCTTCTGTCCTGTCTGAGCACTGTCTAGGTTGTCCGCTAAGACAAATAGGGAGGTAGTGGGGATCCGAGTAGAGGTGCTCTTAAGAAAATATCAAAGCTTCTTCAGTAGCAGTGTAAGAGCATCTACCTAAAGTCTAAGAGTCTTGTTCATGTGAGTGCTTAAAATTTTTGGGAGCATTTTTGTGCATGTGTTGTAATAG